ATTGGGAGAAGGTATCTAGTGAATGACTTGGAGGAGTGGTGATCCTTCAGATCCTATCTATCTAACATCTCTATCTAAGAGCCAGAGTAATTGGTATATTAATGGAATCTTACAAAGACTCTTGGTGAATCTCTCTGAGCCTCTTCAGAGCTGGAGAGACTAACCCAGGAAGCCCAGAAATAAAAAGAGCCTTAAAAGTCTGTTCACTTATTCAGAATGTATTTAATTCCCTGCTCTGTACCTTTGGGCACTGAGAATTCAATGAGGGACTGAGCAATTATGAGAGAGAAGAGTCCTAGGTAAGTTTGAGGTCAATGACCAGTAGGACTACTAATCTAGCCCATTTAGGAGCGAGAGCAGCCAGAACCTGAGTAGGCTCTTCCAGAGTCCATTACACTTGGTCTGATGGAGGAAGGCTAACTGCCTTCCTGGGTGCAGGAAACACCTCCTGCAATGATTGGAAGCCATTGGATTTGGTCCTGTGGGGCAAGGATGCCCATCCTGTTCAAGGAAGAGGGTTCCTTTGAAATGCCAGCAAATGGCATGCCCTTCCCACATCAGAGTCATTGTCTCTTTTTCAAAGTACATAATAACTCCTTTCTCCCAACCACAAAAGAATCGATGGATAATTTAAATGAACTTGCATCTTATTCATTCCAACAGTGTCCACTGACATTTTTGTTAGGAAAAACAATTTTATTACCCTTTCAAGTGACCTTGTGTACTTTAATCTACTGTACATATCTACTTCACATTGTTTTTAATTTGAAAAAAATATTGGCCCCATGTGGAAGACCTTTTTAAAATATTTTTTCTGAAATAACGTTTGTAGATGTATTGATAAACTCTTTAAAATTGCTCTCAACTTACCCTATGCACACTTCCAAAGTTTGTGGTCCACAGTGTGGGGTTGGAGCCCCAGGGAACTGGCAGGGTCTGAGATGAGTGGAGGGGGAGGAGTTGCTGGGGAGTTTGAAGCAGTGTCATGATGGGAGATCACTGTTAACAAAGCCACAAGCTAGTTGGGGCATGTTCTAAATTAAAGCCATAGCAGACAGGAAGAGAACTGAGCCGAACTGATCCATAGTGAAACAGAGTTGATGTGACTGAGTGACCCTAGATGTGGCAATAGGGGGAGAAGTCTCAGAAGGCTCCTAGTGTTCTATCTTGAGTGACTGTAGTACTGAAAACTTGTAGCTGCTAGATGAGGTCCTCTGTCTCTAAGGTCTCCAAGAATGAATGCACAGACATGGAGGGAGAAGTAAAGTGGCAAAGGTTCACTGAAGCAAAAGATAAGCAGACCTCCAGCTAGCCAGGAGGGGTCCCACAGGAGGGTATTACCTCGGGTGGATTGTGCAGGGGTTAATAAGGTCTCACTGGGACATCACTGGACAGCCTGCAGACCATATCATTCTCCAGAACCATTCAGATGTTCCGTACCACTTGTATGAGCTCTCCATGTGGTCATCTCACTCCTCTGACTGGATTTCCGTTCCAGTACAAACCTGGCTCCAATCAGTTGACTGTCCACACGCTGGCAAGCCTTCCAGGAGCAGTCACCCATGATGTGATGCGTCCTGGGCTACTACTCAAAGCCATGCTGAGGAATGTGGCATCTCTATGGGAGGAGGGAGCTTTGCCTTGAGATGGCTCTCAACTAGATAAACAGGAGTGCCATCATGGATTGTGTGTAGGGGCCGTGTGTGTGTGTGTGTGTGTGTGTGTGTGTGTGTGTGTGTGTGTAAACTCAGGGCATGGGCACTGTCTCTGAGCTTCTTTTGCTCAAGGGTAGCATTCTACCACTTCAGCTATAGTTCTACTTCCAGCTTTTTTGATAGTTTAGTGGAAATAAGACTCTCACAGACTTTCCTGCCTAGGCTGGCTTCGAACTGAGATCCTTAGATCTCAGCCTCCTGAGTAGCTAGGATTATAAGCCACCAACTCACAGTCCATCACAGATTTAAAAAAAAAAAGCAGAGATAAGTACATGGTTGGAGAAGATTGAATTGCATCCTGTGACTCATGAGTTCCTTGAGGGTTACCAAGTGGAAATGTATAAGTCTAGAAGAAGGAAATAGGCTAGGGATGGGCTTTGGGAAGCATGGATCTGAAGGTAAGAATCAGGTGTGGGTGTAGACCATAGCACCCAGGGAGAAGTAGGCAGTGTGAGAAGAGAATCCAAGTGCAAAGCACAGGGGAACTTCCATGCCTGAGAGTCAGGTGGTGGGGTGAATGATTCCTCAACAGGAAACCACAGGCAGAAATGGAGGTCAGCCTGGAAGAGAGCAGTCATGGGGGAAAGAGAGGGAAGATTTTCAGGAGGCAGCCATGAAGAACACCTGCCCCACAGAGCAGTCTGTCCACAAGGTCCACAAAAAAAAAAAAAGAGCAACAAAATCCCATCCCTTGCTTACCTAGTTCTTTAAGCTTATAAAGCACTGTCTTATTCTTAGCTCATCTCATTCACACCACAGCTTATGTAACATTCTTACAGATGCTAAAGCTGCAAGGCCATGAGGTGAAGGGATTTGCTCAAGGCATCAAGCAAGCTAGAGTTCGAGATTGCAGCCCAATGTCTTGACTATGCTTCCTGGATCCTAACCCCAGTTAAGAGTTCAAACCAACCAATGAGGACATCCAAACAGAACCTGTTCCAGGATAGCTGCTTGTTACTGGCAAGCTTTCAAAAGGGTTACTTATCACACATCGTTTTGTACTTTCTAGAATCAAAAGATGTCAGCTTTCTGGGATCATCTTATTCTAAAACCCATTACCTAATTCCTTACACCTAGCTCTGTATGTAAGAGAGACAATTGAAGGTTGGCAAGCAGAGGAATGATATAAGTTTGAGTATGTGCTGGAAAGGTTAATTGGTATCACTGAACTTTATATTTGACTATGCTTATGTCTGGTTGTTGGATTCTTACATCACCTGAAACAAAATAATGAAAACACACTGTGGAGACACAAGCTGTCTGGGATTGTTTTACAACTGAGTCCTTCCTCCTTTCCTTTCATCCTACCCTGAGACGCAAACTGTGTTCACCAGGGAGGCAGCAAAAGCTTCCTGACATTTGAAAGCCAAAGCTCCTTGCATATTAGATGAGGTCAATGCTCAGATCACAATTCTCCCATCGCCCCTGTACCATCCAGAGCAGGCCTGGCTATGCATCTAGGCGTCTGCTGCTTGTTCCTCTGTTCCTCAGTCATTTTAACAAGAGGAAGATGCTCCCTCTCTCCCAGTCAGATCTGGACCCAGCCCAAGCTTATCCATGTGGGACCGAGCCCGGAGCTCTTCTCTGCCTAGCTCTCCTTTGGGAACCATTTCCAACATACTTATCTCTGGGAATTCACCACTCTATTGGGTATGAGTCTGATGTTCTCCCTCCCCCTCCCTCCTCAGCACAGAAGGTACAGCAAACAAAAACCTCCATTTCCTTTTATGACATTTTTCTCTCCTTACAGCTCAGAGGTTAGGCAAAACACAAAGACAGTCATCACCAGGCAAGCCTGATTTTCAGAGGTGACATTACAACCTTATTTCCACCTGGTGGCTTGATTTGGGCCGTTTCTACTGGCTCATAAAACTGGCCTTCCCCTGGGTGCATCGGGAATAGCTGGGAAGTCTGGAGTCAGTACCAGATACATCATTTCTCTTTTCTCTCATGGCATGCTATGGATATGATTCCACTTCTCTAGCGGAAAATATCTAGTTCCACAAAAAGATTGGAAGCAAGCAGAGGAGGTGGACTGTGATCTCACATACCAACTTTATCACCCTCTTTGTTATGTTGCAAAAGTGAGAAAACATCTGTTAAATATTAAATACAAAATGCATTCTTAGATTTGAAAAAGCCAAGGTGTTAGCTAAGTCTCTGTCCCCTTTCAGAATAACCTTAGGCAGGTGACAGGTCTCTCCTTTGTCAAATCTGTCCAGGAAAGATGCAAGTAAATGAGATGGGAAGTTCCTGAAACCCTTGAAAGCCTGTGCATCCTGGGGAAACCTCTGTCAAGGTAGTGAAGTCTGCCTGAGCAGCAAGTATGACTTTACAGCTTCCATATCAGAGTCCTTTCACTGGCCTATATTAGAACCCCTAGATTCAAACCCTGGCTTCTAGACCTTAGCCAAGTCACTTAGCTGCTCAAAGTAAACATGGGGATAGTAGTAGTTCCTTGCCTTAGAAGTTTGTCAGGATTTAGGATGAATTCTGACAGTGAAGCAGGTAAGTCAGTGTCTGGGAAGAGCCAGAGGCAGTAAATGCTGATTAAGCCAGCCCTCTAATAGTGCACTCAACTTCCTAGCTACTCAGAAAGTTGAGATCTGAGGAGCAGAGATCGAAGCTAGCCTGGACAGAAAACTCCTTGAGATTCTTTTCTCCAATTTGTCATCAAAAAGCCAGAAATGGAGGTGTGTTTTAAGTTGGTAGAACTCTAGCCTTGAGCAAAAAAGCCAAGAGAGAGCTTGAGATCCTGGGTTCAAGTCCTAGTACCAGAATGCATAGATAGGCAGATAGATAGATAGAGAGAGAGAGAGAGAGAGAGAGAGAGAGAGATAGGCAGATAGGTAGATTAGATAGATAGATAGATAGATAGATAGACAGATAGATAGATAGATAGACAGATGAATCCTGAGTTCAAGTTCTAGAACCAACAAGCATAGATAGATAGATAGATAGATAGATAGATAGATAGATAGATAGATAGATAGAGATAGGCAGATGGGCACATAGATAGATAGATAGATATAGAGAGAGATAGACAGATAGATAGATAGATAGATGAATCCAGAGTTCAAGTCCAGAACCAACAAGCATAGATAGATAGATAGATAGATAAATAGACAGATATTGATAGCCAGGTAGATGATAGCTAGGTTGGACACTTATCATATAGAGTAGATGGATAGGCAAGCAGGGCTGACCAGACTTTCGTTGTCGTGTTGTCTGGATAATATAATAATGAGTCCTATACTGGTTACTTTTTTCTTCTCCCCATTATAGGTCAGTGCAGCTGAATGGCCAGCCCTTAGTGATGGTGGATGATGGGACCCTCCCCGAACTGAAGCCCCGCCCCCTGCGGGCTGGCCGGACATTGGTCATCCCTCCAGTCACCATGGGTTTTTATGTGGTCAAGAATGTCAATGCTCTGGCCTGCCGCTACCGATAAACCACCTTCCACTCACAAGTTCCTGGTGGGCCTGCTGGACTGCCTTCTACTCTTCCACCCTCATAGTACCCTGACTTTTCAGACATCTTAGTAACCAGCCTCTTCGGCCCCATACTGCTGAAGTCAACATAGACTCACCCTCCAGAGAGGCTAAATGTCATAGTGTGAGCTTAGCCTAGGTAAATCCCTGAGGAAAATGTAGACACCACGCGTGCCTATATAGGATAAAGGTCTGTGTCTAGAGCTGTATGCTTCCATTTACACACACACCATGCAAAACAAGCAGACAGCACACAAATGCTTCCCCCACCCAAAACCTCACATGATCCTGGTCACACAAGGTTGTGTCTAACTCCACAACTCCAAACCTTAGCCTGCTGCTGCCCTCAACAGAGGAGGAAGGAAACCCCAGGAGGACCTGCCAGAACCTAATCCAATTCTAACTCCCTTTCCTTCGTCTTGTTTCCTGCTGCTGCCCTGGGTTTCCTGACACCTCTCTTCCCATAGGGGAGCAAATGGGTGAGTCAGCTGTGGCCTGCTGCGTGAGCTGTTTAGGTAATTTCCTGGCTGATGTATGTGTGAGTGCATGCATCTGGGTTTCTGACAGTGGCATCCATCACTGGCTATTCCTTTGGGAAGCGGGTACTTCAAAAGTAGAATTGCAATCATACTCCAGATTTTGTAAGAAGGCTCTATTCTTCTGTGAATCTGGAATCCCCAAGACTTGGAATGCGAGTCAGGTAACAGTATTCATTTGAATGGAGAATAATGTATTAGGTACCACAAAAAGCAATCAGAATCCTTTGTGTTACCAGGAAGAAAAGAGTTGTAGTACAAAGAGAAAGCACACAGAAACATCAAATGCATACATACTCCCTTACACACACCACACCACCCCCCACACACACACAATGGCAAATTAGACCTGCCCTGCCACACTGAGAGAATATTAAGGGCCTGAAAAGATACGTCTTCAGTTGTTAGGCTAACCAAAAGTCATTGAAAAGGTGTGCACCAAAAGTCATCACTGTAAGACACACAGAATCTAGCCTTTCTTCCTCTTCCCACATAACTAAGTCTCTCTGTGGCATTTCCTGAGCAGGAATCCAATGGAGGCATTAAAGATAACCAGGTACTTTCTATGGCAGACCTGCTTACTTTAACACAGAGCACAGCTCTCAGCTCTACTGGGGGAGGACTGAGAAATTGGAGACAGCTCTGATGGCAAAACTGCAGAACGGTAGATGGAAAGCATCTGCGTTGAGCGGGTGTAATACCCTTACATCAAGCATGATTTAAGGCTCCTGATGAAGTCCATGGTGTGATTCCAGGGGTGTGTGGGTCTTTGCAAACAAGCACAGCTGCAGTGACATTCTTCTCTGTGAATCCAAATGTCCTCGGGATAGATGACATGAATTGTGCTTTTCTTAAATGGAGGAAATAATTAACTGCAGTGGGTTTCCATTAAGCAGCAACACGACTTGGTAAAAGAATAGGACTGAAGTGGGAGCAACAGACAGAGAGAGGCCTGCAATACCCCAGGAGTGAGGACTTGAATTAAGCCCACAACATGAGATACGAGTACTTTTAGACGAGCCAGACAGTAGAGAGTTCACAGCGGGGAGAACTGGGAATTTGAGAGAGGGAAGCCAACTGGCTGATTTTGTGTATAAGGAAGGTGGCAAACTCAGGTTTTGGCGTGCTTCTTATTAAGCACAAGAGGAGCAGCACATGGTAGGTATACTAGAACAGGAAGAAAAGAGAGAACCAGTCAGTGGCTGTGCTCAGCATGGAAGCATCTGGAGAAAGAGGAGCAGGCCCCCAAGACAGCACCCCACCAGCAAGGCTGCAAAAAGGTCGACTCCCTTCTCAAGAATGAGGCACCTCCTACCCAAGCCTTAGCTTTGAGAGGATAGGGAAGAAAAATATTAAGACTGGAGGCAGGAAGATGGAGGGAAAAGAAGAGATGGAGGGATAGGCCAACATGAACACAGGAAAGAGAAATGAGACAAAATTGTTTCCCCAAATTTTGTCCAGACATCAAATCACGAGTATCTATACCTGAGCAGGTGCAGCTGCACAGCCCTGATAATAACAAGGGAGTCATGGGTCCCTAATGGCCGGGCCTTGGACTGACTTGCTTTGCATACATAGCAGCCCCATGACAGAGTTACTACTGTCACCACCTTTTCTCCTACGAGGTACAAAGAGGATCTTTAGCTTGCCCAGAGAAATGGGTTATTGACCCTTTATCCACCAAGCTCAGGGGCCACCCAAGTCCCAGACTCCCTGCTTTACCTGAAAGCCTCTGCTCACTCAGCACAGCCAAGACTTCCACAGCCCCATCCACACACATTTCCTGTATGTAAGGGTTGATTCTTCACTAAACCTGGCAGAATGTAGATGATTCCTGCTTCTTTTTGTCTTTCTCTGTGTATTCAATGCTGCACCCAAAAGGCTTACATTTTGTTGACTTTTTAGTTAATCAAAGGGAAAGCAGGAAGCACTGATATTTATCTTGTGGGTCCTGCAGTTCTAACTTCACAACCATCTCATGGAAGAACTATTTCCATTGCTCCAAGGATGCCATCATACTCCACAGTGATTTTAGCACATCTGTCTTGATGCCCTTTGGCATGCAGGGGAGGGGGAGGTTACTAAAGCAACAGCAATTCCTTTTTACAGGGCTTCACCTGCCACCGGTACCCCAAAAGACAGCATGTAGCAAACAGAGCATGACAAGCTACAGCAGGGGAGTCGCTGGTGCGGGCCTGAGAAGCTCAGAGAGCTCATCCAGGTCTGTCTTCCCTCCTTGTGCAAACCACAGCTGGGATCATCTGAGTCTTAAGCACTGCTTTATTTTAAACCCAAGAATGAGCTTGAGAAAATGCTTATTGAGAGACTAATAATGCATAATGAGAAGTCTGTGCCTTTTCGTGGAGATAGTTTTCTGCTCCTCTTGCCTCTAGGAATGATTTTCTTTCTCATTTCTTATCACAAAGGCTCAGAATAAATTCTCATTGTTATTTGGAGAGAAAGTCCCCATTCTTCTAGTGCCCTGACAAAACCTGCCCCTGGAGAATATTAACATTATCTCTGGCTGAACAAAAGCTGAGGGGAAAAAAAAAACACCACAATCAGACACCTGGAAGACTAAGGCCTTGGACTCCCACCCTCTCCCAGGTTTTGGGGCTGCCTCCAGGCAGATGGACCCCAAGCTCTGCATACCCAGGCAGGATAGAGGTGACCAACAGGTTTTACCTACTCCCAGCACTAGGGGCTGGAAAGCACTGAGCATCCACAAGCTGTGGGCCAGGCCTGGCTAGCATCTGCCAGTGTGTCTTTTTGTCTGGTTTTCCTCCTGGGAGTCCATAGACCCTGGTTTTCTTTCTGAAAACTTAGGGTCAATGCTGAATCTTCAGGAGCAAAGGCGAACCAGCTAGATTCCTGTAAAACAAAGGAGTAAGGAGTTGATTTTAACCAAGAATAACAGCAATATGTGTGGTTTGAGAAGTCAAGGGAAGGAATGGCATAAACACTTACCTGACCTGGTTTTCTCCATTTCCATCTCTCTTCGAACTCGGTTCAACTAGCCCAGTCTGGACACTGTAATAGCTCTTTCCTCACTAACATACTCTCCAGTTCCACAGCCTCCACTCTATCAGATGCTCTGTCCCCATCTGGGAGCCCAGGGAAGTCTGCTATGCTTAGATAGAGCACAATTTCCACTGTAGAATTGTTTGTGATCTTTGCTTCTGAGGCACCACAGTGGAAGGGAAGATCGAAAGTACTTTGCAGAGAGACAATGCTAACATGCGCAAATTTATGAGAGGACCCAAACATAAAGAGCATTAGAACCCCTCTTGTGAGTTCCTCTAACAATGACACAGAGGCTTCTGGACCTTCCTTTGTTTATCCAATGCCTTCTCATCAGACACATTAGGTAACCCTCAAGTCCATCCAGGAAGTCCAGTGAATTTAGATCCCATTACAGATGAGGAAGGAACCCGCCCATTGTCTGCCAGACAAAGTGGCAGGACTACAGTTTGGACTAAGGTCACTGAAATCCCAGAGTCTTCTCTGATGGCATGCTGTTGTCTCTCCTTTTAGTGACAATCATCACCCATTCCTTACCTCTATGTTGCCCAGCTTTCTTAATGTCCCATGTGGTTCCCATAGAGAACCTTTGCATGATCTCTAGTTACGAAGAACCCAGGTAGCAGCTCTGATGAGAAGGAAATAGGGCTGTGACTAGCCCACCAGTGGCTCTGCATTGCTGTAGACATCCTACAGATGTGGGACCACTCCCACCCTGAGGTAATGATTCTTGGTGTTTCTGGGACCTAGGAGGTAAGTGGTAAGGTGGATATCTCCTACATACCACATTCACTCTCCTCTCCTGCTACCATTAAAAGTTTGGAAGTCTCTCCATCTTCCCAGACCAAACAACAAATCCATCAGTCAGCACTCTAGGGGTGGTCTTTGCATATACCACTCTAGAACAAGAAAGTAGAAGTACAAGAGGCCCACTGCATTGGTACTGCTTCCTTCCAAACAGTCTTGAGTTCCAGAAACGTTTGAGAGGAGCTGACAGAATTCCATGCGACTGGCTCGTGAATCAACCCACCGTTTCCACGAGCCAGCAGAGGAAATGGTGGGGGGGGGCTTGAGGCAGCCCACACCAGGCACTATTATTAAGCCCATGTTGTCTTACTATTCTTTGGGAAAATGTCCTAGGAGTCCTTTTCAAGTTGTAAATGTTATACGATAAATTATATTTTTTGGAAGAAGAAGAAAAAGAAACCTTTTGTTTTATTCATCTGGAAGTTGGCAAAAAAATGAGGGTAGGAATACCTCCAAGGAAAAGTTTTGTCTCTGTTCAGGGGATTTTTAACAAGTGTTAATATTTCCTTCCAGAAAACAGTTTACAGTATGGTTTATTTGAGTCTGGTGATTGCAGGGAGTTTGGGTCCGTGGGGTAGTCTATATTTTGAGGTAATGTTTTGTAAGTAATAAAATGTGACTACTCTTAACTTTCTGTTCTCGGGCTGTTTTGTGGGAAGAAGGGGGCAACTTTCACACACTCTACACCTTGACCTTAAAACTGACTGCTGAGCTGGGCGCTGGTGGCTCATGCCTGTAATCCTAGCTACTCAGGAGGCTGAGATCTGAGGATCACGGTTCAAAGCCAGCCCAGGCAGGAAAGTCCATAAGACTGGTATCTCCAATAAACCAACAGAAAACCAGAAGTGGTGCTGTGGTTCAAGTGGTAGAGTGCTAGCCTTGAGTTGAAGAGCTGAGGGACAGCACCCAGGCCCAGAGTTCAAGCCCCATGACCACCACCAACAACAACAACAACAAAGACTGCTGGATGAACTAACACTTGCTGAGCTTCTTTGACCTCAGGGTACACTGTCCTCTTCTTCTGCCTAACCAGCTCTAGTTCAACTATTCTAAGGAGATATGAAATGTTGTGTCATTGATTGTACTGGTTAAAGGTAACTATTCACAAGGCAACAGGTGAACCCCAAAATCTCATGCCACATGAGGTTCAGTTGGTGGTAGAGGGAAAAAGACCAGTGGCTCTATCCCATGTAGTTATATTTCCATCTAGATTGATGGAGACTTTCTGCCATCTTTGGTACTTCCCCCCAAGGCTGCTATGGGCATCAGCATAAAGTTGAGTGAGTGAAACACACACATATACATACAGAGAGGGTGTGGGGAGAGGTGAGTAAGGGGCCTGACCTGGAACTGGTAGTAAAACCTTTCCATTCAGTTCCATTGGCCAGAAATTAGTCACATGGTCTCACCTGAATACTGAAGTCCTAACAACTATATTTCATGGAAAAGGAGAACAAACTTTGATGGATGCTAGGAGCTGGAAAATGAATCAATGGTGTGGCGTCCCTGCAAAGCTAATTTGCTATACAGTGATTATTAGAGTTTGAATGTAGTGTTATCTAAATCCACAGGACTTCATACACTCCTAAAGCTCTGAAGGGAGCTGTTGTCTATCTACCCCCTCCTTCTTAAGTTCTGACTTTCCGCTCCCTATTTGTCTGATTTTT